TAAGATCATTTCAGATGATTTTGACCCCAAAAAAAAGATCATTTCAGATGATTTGCTATATCTTTTTTCTATAGAAATAGAGTTCTTTAAAAATATTGAAAGTATTTGCTTTAATACTTACCTATATTGTTCAGTCTAAATATTTTATTTCTATTTACTTATTATTTTTTTAATAAATTCTTTACTTTACAAATATATAAGAAGAAAAAAACTTATACTTTATCTACTGTATCCATTTATTTTGTATTTTCAACATAAAATAAATATAATTGCGACTTTATTAAAATTAAAAGGTTACCACACAAATAAAATTTCGTTATATAACCAGTTATGGGAAATTTCCATATTTACATTGAAATTAAGTTTTTAGAACAAATATAACTGAGAAACTATAAACTTTTCACTCTCTAATATTTTTCATTTGAACCGATTTTGCCCTTTAGGAAAGTCTTCTTAAATTTTTTTTTTTTGTCAATATTTCATGATGTTTAGGAAGGTCTTCCAAATATTAAAATTTTAACATCGTTTCATATGATTTAGGAAAGTTTTTCTAAATTTTTATAAAATGTTTGAATTGTGGATGGGCTTCCTGAATTATGGAAGAGCTTACTAAATCGTGGAAGGACATCCTGAATTTGAATTGTTGTATAAATTAACAAAAAAATCAATTATACGATTTGCAAAGGTTTTTCTAAATACATATAATGATTAATGACTTACTTAATTTATATATTTTAGGACAGTCTTTCTTTAAATTTAGAATATCTTCCTAAGTTTACTTTCATCTTCTTCCTTGCCTCAGCGACACTCAAACCCTAATTTCTGCCGATTTTTTTTTTTTCACCATTGTTGTTGTTTTAGCTTGGATTTCTTGAGTTTTTCACCCAATTATATCATATCTTTTTTTCACTATATGATTTTGAGCTTTAAATCCCGGAAATAATTTCCTATAAGATAAAACTCCAAAGATCTAAAAGATACACAATCACATATCACAATCAAATGATTCAAATTTCAGATCAGTTTTGACCATTGATACCTTTGTTTATACATCATTTTTCTTCTCCTTCTATTAACTAATGTTTTATATAAGTAGGGTTAATATGGTCAAGTCTTTAGTGAAAAATGTTATTTAAGGAATTTTTTAGAGTGTTAGTGTATATTAAGAACACAAACTTAAATTTGGTGTATCTAAGGACATTTTATAATTTTATTTAAGGATAAGAAGAAAACATATCATTTCTATTTTGTAAATAATAGAAACATATCAAAATTAAAGAAGTGTTTTGTAAATAAAAATATTACTCTAAAAATAGAAATCTCTATATATAACTTCAAATTTAGAGTTACATTTAGTGATATCTATCCACTACATATTATTTGAGAAGTAACATTATTGAAAATAGCTTATTTGTCAACACTACAGTCAAAGTTAGTGATTTTAATTGATGACATGCAAATGTGACATGTCAAACTTCCTAAAATAAACAAAATGTTTTGATTGGTTGAATTAAAATTATAATTGTGGAACTAAAACATAAATAAACTAGATTATATTTATAACACTAAAATTAACAAATTTAAATTAACAGAAAATAAAAGTTATTATAATTTTAATTTTTTACATATATTCATAATTTCATAAAATATAATTATGAATGTTTTTCAACAATATATATATATATATATATTATAATTTCACATAAAAACCAAACAAATAATACTAAATAATCCAATAGAATAGTAAAAATTCTATTTATTAATAATACTTGAAGTATGATATATTTTTATATTAAAAAGTTATTAATTTACAAAATATATTAATAACATCTAAACAAGTTCTAAATAAAAAATTAGTAAATAATACAATTTTTAAAAAAATACAATCATGATAAAAATAAATTAAAGTATAAAATGTTAAAATAATTAAATTGTATTGAAATAGTTTTTAAAAAACGTAATTTTAAATAATTTTATTTTTAAACCGATATTTACTAATTGAATAAAGTATATTCTAATTATTATTTTATAATATTAATATGACCATATATTTTTCTACAACTTTTATCATCTTTTTATTGTTGTTTTCTAAAATGTACATAACTTATGTTACCATATCATCTTATCTCTTATCATATTTTAAATAAAAATAATAGCATATGCATATATATATGTTTATTTTCATTGTATATAAAAATTTTGAAATAATAAATGAAATAAAAAATAACCAAACGAAAAAATAAATTATAATAAGATGAAACAATATGAATCAGAAATAAAAATAAAAGTATATAAAAGTAAATCTCTCACACTTTGTTTTAGAAAGTCAGTTAAAAACTTTTTAACACGTAAGAGCCTTATTTTAATTTTTTACAAATACGGGTACATACATATATATTAATTGTACATTAGTTGAAGTCACATGCGAACTTGACCGTGCATGTATTTTGTTAAGATTGATTACAGTCTAATTTTTATTTTAATTATTATACAATTTATATTTTTTAAATTTTTTTATCTATTCTAAGTATAGTGAAGTGGTTGGTATACTCGCACATGCGTGCCAATTATCTATCCGCTCTTATGAATAAGTAAAAATAGTAAAAACTATTTCAGTTTAATTTGCAATAAATCAAGAAAAAGATATACTTAAATATATTATATATGTATTTGCAAATTCATACTATGTAAGACGCAAAAAGCATATCGTAGATTGTGTAAAGAGAAATAAAGCACATTATAGAAATATTTAAAAAATATTATAAGAATTTAATTATTATTTAACATAACTTTTATATTTGTGATTATATATTATTATAAGCATTATAAATATAAAAAGTTTTAAAATACATTGGTTTCAGAAAAAAGTTTATGAAATATTAAAACAATATATATATACAAACATACCAATATTTAAAAAAAAACAAATCAACATTTAAATATTACAATTAACTTGTATATCAAAAAAATTATACCCGCATATATGTGCAGGCCAACCACCTAGTCTACTTTTAAAATATGATATAAAGTATCATTACCGATGGTTTTATTCTAAAATTAGAATTTATAGACAAAAATAAACTTTCATTGGAAATATTGTAAACTTCGACCAAATGAGCCATTTTTCCTTGTAGTGAGTAACTTCATGATTCAGGATCAACATCTCGGATGACCTTCCGTACAAGAAGAAGTGCTCAAATAACCTCTAGAAAATTATAATTTAATTTAATTTTTTAATAGGTTAAAATAGCAAAATTACTATACTGTCTTTCTTCAAATCAAATAACCTCTTGGAATTATAATTTAATTTAAAATTATTTTTTAATAGGTTAAAATAGCAAAATTACTATATTTTCCTATTTTGTCCGTGGGGAGGGAAAAAAAATGGATGTGAAGCTATTTTTTTTTTAATTAATGAAATGATTCATTAAAGGTAAAGTAGGTAATTCATATTATAAAATTTAGGAAAGATTAGTAAAAGTTAGTTTTGATTTGACTTTTTGTACGACAGATCATAGCTATAAAAAGTATAAATAGTGCAAGAAGGTAAAAGAGTAGAAGAATCCAGAATGGTCTCCACAAAACTCTCCGGACAAACTGGAGATCCCATTGCTAGCTTCCTCATGAAAGCCACCCATCATGACGACTTCCACTAGCACAATAGAATAACAGCATCTTGCTAGTCAAGGTAAGTAACACTTCACCCTGCACTTTACCTGGCAAAAAAGCTTTTCCACCCTCTCTCATGCTGACTTGTAGCCCCATTTGCATTTTGAAATATACTTCCGAACAAATTGTTTGTAGACAGCAATATACAAAGAAGGATCTAACCTACCTTATAGTTTCTCATCAATAATTTAAATGATAGGTTGGCACTTTCTATAGTCTTTGATTATAAGCTTCTAAAAAAGAAATTTAGCTTTTATAATCTCACCATAAATAAACTCAAGAGTAGGTATCTTCTCCCTATCCACCAACCTTAGAACTGAGAAATGGCCTTTCTGAAGATTTCAAAACAACCATCACACTCCTCCAAAATCTAAAACTCATAACTATATCAAACACGTTGTTTCCCTTCACACATTTAAAATGCATTCATCCATGCCATACTCATCGCTGTCAAACATGGCTTTTACGTAGTTGTGCCTTCTTCTCACCACTACAAAAAAAATGATTGATTACATGTATCACAAAACTAAATGATTTTTTTGGTATGACACAAAAACTAAATGTTATAATTTTTAAATTACTTATTAATAAATAATACAAAATATATGATTTAACATCAATTATTATATTTAATATTTTTATTGATTATTTAACTTCAGTTCAATAAAATTGATACAAATTTATATTAGTTTACATCACTTAAATAATATTGATATAAAATTATGTATTCAAATCAGTTAAATAATCGATGTAATCAATAATTTGGTTAACATCATTTAAAAAATAATATAAATTTCACATCAATTAAAACTGATGTTAATTATTTGCATCACCACATTCAGAATCATTTTACATGTCATGTAAAACTTATTTGTATCAATTATAAATAATACAAATATTTAAAATAAATGATACAATACATCTGTTTTTTTGTAGTGCACTAAGATATATTTTTTATATTTTTTCATATGTTAAGAATTGTAAATTTGCTTTTTATGTTAATATACTATATTACTATCAAACACTTATGCTAAGAATTTGCAGTTATATTTTTCATAAATAGTTTGTTAAAATTTAATTGGTTGAAGGTTTATATATTTGTTGAAATATGATAAACATAATTTGACATGTCACGATTATATTAATATAACTAACTTTGAAAGATCAAGTTTTGGGGCTGGTGGATAGAGAGAATATAATATCACAATGGTTGTTTAATGTCGCGTCTCTTGACAAGAACCACATGTAATGGGGTGGTCTTATGCAATGAGAGACCGAAAGTCACGTGCATGTCCAAATCCTCAGAAATGACGCCGTTTGGAAGTTTCCAATCAAAGGAATAGACAAGAGAAGCAAGCACAAATGGCACAGTCTTCACAGCCAAAGGCAATCCTGGGCAAATCCTCCGTCCAGCGCCAAAATGGTATCAGCTGATAATCTCTACCTCTCACGTCAGTTTCTTTCCCAAAAAACCTATCTGGCTCAAACCTGGTCGGATTCTCCCACACACTCATATCTCTTCCTATGGCCCACACGAACCTCAGTGTCTTAGGCACCATGAAACCAAGAATCTCCACATCGGATTCAGATTTTCGCGGGATGAGAAGCGGACCAACCGGATGTAACCGGAAAGTTTCCTTCACAACCTCTTGTAATACGCATTTTTGAGATATCCGACTCTTCAACGAAACCTTTTTGACTAATCGCACAATCAATCTCATCCTGTGATTTTAGAATTGTTTTAGGGTTTCGAAGTAACTCTGCCATTGCCCACTCCACGGTACTAGTGCTTGTGTCTGTCCCCGCAACAAACAAATCCTGATACATAAGTACAAATGATCCATTATCATTAAATCTTGTTTTTATTGTTAATTCATATGTTTATAATATCTGTAAAATGGCTAAACTTACAAAGAGAAGGTGTTCAATATCGTTATTGTTGAGTTCTACTTAGTTGAGATCAATAAGCGCATCTAAGAAATCACTGTCTGAGAGATTTATAGGGTTATTCCGCATTGATTTTTTAGTATCAATGAACCCACGGAAAATCCTAAACAATATCTCTGAATAGTCCGTCGTCTTCTTTTGGTTACCTTGCAGGTCTGGGTTTCCGATAGATTCCATGATACCATTCACCGCATCTTGAAACACACTAGACTCTTTCGAATTGTGGCTACTGAGATCAGCCGAAAACAGAATATTTGATATGAAATTGAGAATTGTGACGAAGGACGCACGAGAAATATCAACAGCTTCTTCTCTTTGGCTGATTTAATCCATGAAGCTCACAAGCTCTTGCATCTTCTTCATTCGCAGAGCTTTAGTGGCTTCCATACGCTGCGGAGAGAACAACTGAGTTGCTGACAGTTTTCGCAACAGCCTGAAACAAAGCATCCCCACCACTGATTTTGGTTTTAGATAGGTCCCTACTGTTTTAGAGATTCTATTATTAAGGCAACAAATCTTGGCCAATTCAGGAGAATTGATATTATATTATTAATTGGTAAGCAAATTGGGCTGTGGTTGAGAGTTATGATGATTGATTATTTTTTATTCCTTATGTGAATTTATTTAATTTATCCTTATTAATAATGTTAAAAATCAGCTAAATTTAATTGATTTTAGTTACAACTAAAACTCTATACTACCTAATCTCATAGATATATGAGTATATATTAGAGCAATTTATACAAACAATATAAAACTGTAGCCGTACGTCTCTCTCTTTAACCCCAATTTGTCGTAAGATTCAACTAAAGTTTTATCACTATCTAATGAAACGTATGAAAAATGTCATTGAAGGCGGAAGCTTTGTTGGAGAAGAAAGAAAGAGCTGATTTGCATTATAAATTTTGTAATTGTTCGAATAAAGAGGTTGAAGCGTCGGAGTACGAAGAAAATTTGTATCTAAACTTTATTATTATGTTATATGTGGTTGTGAAATTTACAAACTAATGTCCGAACTCTTCCTAGAAAATTAGGAGCAACAACAGCATCGTGTAGTTTGATAAGCAAAGGAGGTTGTTTGTTAAGTTTGGTTTATGTTGAGTTTAGATTTGCATGGAATGATTATCTTACGTCAAAGATGTGAATGGAGGAGCAATCTTTTATAGGTAAGTTTTTGGGTGGGATGACCTTCGTGAATTGTGAGGTTTGTCAATAGCCTTTGCATGATAGAGGAGAAGCTGCAACATGCAGTTGGTGTTGTCGCATAGAAGAAGAGAAACAGGGTAAAAGGAACTGGTACGCGATAGGGTTTAGAGTCATGCAGCTTTGCTCATAATTGGATGTTAGAGAATAAAACATAAAGAACATGAGAGAAGGAAGATAAATGCGGACAGCTTGGGACGCATGCCAGCCGATGGTTTCTACGCCTACCTTTTCATTGACTCTGAGAACGAGAAGAGGGTTTGCATACTGCCGAATAAGGAGGAGACCGAGCTGTTGGGAGTTGGTAACATCGAGTTCTTTCCGAGTGTAGAGGAGTGCTTTGTGCCTCTAGGAGGATCAGCCACTCCAGCATTAGCTGCTCGCCCACGGTCAGAGTCCCCCACATCAGATGCTGAGTTTCCCGAGAGCTATGTCCTTCCCAAGATTGACTTTGAGCCGAGGACAAAGGCGGAAAATTTCCTTGCTTCCGTTTTGGAGATGCAAAGGACGTTGAACAAGTGGCAGAGCAAGATGATCAAGAAGCTTGCTCAGAAGATAAAGAAGCTCAAGGGCAACATTCCTGATTCACCTTCAAGAGAAGAGGTCGAGCAGCCGGAGAAGAGAAGGAGATCCACCATAGGCATCGTTTTACGTGAGCCACAAGCAACAGCTCAACCTGCGCGCCACTCGGTTCATGAGCAAGCTAGCTTGGATAAGGGCAAGGCAGTAGCTCACGAGACCACCACTAAGAGCAAGAAGTCTGGAACATCCTCAAGTTCCAGCACTTTTTAGCTCCGAGGTACCAACAACCGTCCCTTGTATATACCACCCATGTTTTAAATTTTTGCTTTGTGTTTTGAGCTTCTCTAGACTATGTTTGCCACTGAGACGGTGTCATTCAAGTTTGGGGGAGTGTGTGGTGTGTTTGACATGTTTTCTTTCTTCTTATTTTCTGTTATCATCCTTTGAGTCTTGCATACATCCTAAGGCATAGAAAAGAACAAAAAAATTGGTAAAATTTTTAAAATTTTCAAAAAAAAAAATTCATGTAGTTGCATTCACTTTGTTAAACATTTTAGGATTGAGTCTAGAGTTTTTGAGCATCTAGGTTGTTTACATTTGCAAAGGGGTAAAAGTTTTTCTTAAAAAGTGTTTTAAGCTCATGAATTGTTTCAAGGCCCTAGTTAGTAGTCCTTTGATGCATTATACACTCTTTGAAAGTAATCTTTAACCATACTTGGATCATGTGTTTTGATTTTCGTGACTTAAGTTGAACATTCATGAATTGAATCCTATCCTAATAAGTGAGTACCTTAATTTGAATCTTCTTAATTATCATACTTATGCATTTGAAAAGGGATACATGGATTACTTATACATATTTAGGCTTTCTTCTTCCTTTTACCACTCTCTTGTAAGCCTAAATAGATTTCCCCACCCTTACCTTACCTTCCTTTCAAGCCAATGTTCTTGTGTGTTAAATCTTTGTGAGGCCTCTTTTCGGTTGAACTTAGCTTAAAGTGTTAGGTTTAGACGACATGATTAGGCTTTCATATTGATACTAGTTTTGCATTTTGAAGCTTGTTTTAGGCTTAGGATAGGGCGGGTGCTCTTGGGGATTGCTTTGTTTTGTTTCGGTTTAAAGAGTTTGATATTTGGAAGTTGAATTAAAAAGGTTTCAATGGCTTTAAGTGGAAGGCTCGCTATTTTAAAAATAAAAGCTCTATGTTTAACTAAGAAGGTAGCTCTCAAAAAAAAAAAAAAAAAGAGAAAAGAGCCAAAAGGCCAAGTGTTTAAAAAGAAAGAAAAGAAAAAAAAAATGAGTAGAGAGCTATCAAAGTAGAGGAGAAGAGCTAAGTATGTTTTCAGCCTTTCCACTAGCCTAAAGAGTTTTAAAATGATGCTTTTACTTGGGTTTTTGCTAGGCGAATTGCCTTGGTGATAAGGGTAGTCTTTAGGAGGGTGAGTGAGCTTTAAAAGATAAGAAAAATGAGAGAGGGTTCTAGGATCTTTGATTAGTGTGCATGGGTAGATGAAGGTTTAATCATGTATGCATCAATTGTCTTCACCTTTAGCATTATGTGAAAGTTCAGCCACTCTTTGAGATAACCCCTTGTTGAATAACCCTTGTAAGCGAGATCATTTTTATCTTGCAACCCTTGTCCCTAGCCAAGCGTATCCGGTTTTAAAGTGCATAAGTGTGATTCACGGTTTTGTGTTTAATGAATGTTAAAGCACATGATTCTTGGATTGTTTGGGATATGAGAGTCATGATTTGAAATTCATTATGTAATGAGTATGGCTAAGTATGAGTGTGTGCATTGCATCTTAGGATTAAGAACTATGACCATTGAATTGATTCATTTGAAAAACACTTTTGTTTGCTTGAGGGCAAGCAAAAGGCAAGTTTTTAAAACCTCTCTTCCTTTCTTGAATTTTGTTTGCTTGAGAGCAAGCAAAATGCAAGTTTGGGGGAGTTGATATTGCATGTTTTGCATACATTTAGGATATTTTTTCATGCATTCATCTTGCATTATAGGCTAGTTTGCAACATTTTAGGTCCTAGAGCACTTTTGCATTAGCATTCGCATATTTCTTGCATTATGCATCATATTCAGGTTGTTTTTGGACACTTTGGAGCTTTGGAGGATTCATGGACGTGCTAAGGCTCGTGAGGAAGCTTATGAACGCTTGGAGAACTCAACCATTCAGCAAAGGACCTGAGATCGAGTTGCGGGTCGGGCAAGGCAGGTCGATCTAGATGAGATCAACCAGAAAATTGAGTACACCTAGTCGATTCAAGAGGAAGGATCGAGACCGAGATCGAGAGAGGAGATCGATCTGTAGTACGGACGTGAATGATACCATGCAGATCGAGAACCAGATCGAGACCAAGACACGATCATCCAAAGATTGCAAAGTAGATCGAGGAAGACACCCGATCCCTCCAACTAGATCGACCAGAAGATCGAGCGGAGCAAGGCGATTCCTGAAGATGATCGAGCACATTGGTCGATCTCAAAGTCGATCCCAGACGAGCCTTATCCGTCCAGCTGTCTTTGGCGGCTAGCGAGGGGGGGGGGGGACCAGCTAACGGTTTAGCCATTTTGGCAAAAGCAGCCATTTGCTTTCACTATCTACATTCTGTCTTTTCTGTTTTCTCTCCAAGTGAGGCGATTCGCCATTGTTGCAATACCTTAAGCTTTTTCAGTTTTTGAACCTTTGAATCTTTTAATATCAAGCATGTTTTTCTTTAATATTTCGTTAATCATGCTTAGCTTATCGTTTATTGCTTTTGCTTCGATCTTAAACATGTATAGTGAGTAGTCGTTTCGGGTTTTGGGGTTCAGGTGTTTCAAGAGGGTTGAAAGGGTTTAAAGCTTTGTGTTTTCTTTGTTCTTCATACCTTCTCTTCTAGGATCTTGGGATCTTAAAGCGTAGAGAGCCTTGGATAAGGTCTCTATGAACAAAAGGCTATCTTACCTTGACAGGATTCAGATGTCCTGGAAAACCAGATCCTAGAGACTAATCCTTCCTTTCCCATACACCATGGTTGTTTAGAGGATTAGTTAGGTCAATATTTGAAATCTGTCTTTCTTGCTCTTCAATCTCTTTTTCCACCAAACGCCATGGGTTTGGAGAAGAGGTTGAGGAAGTGAACCATATCACATGCCATGGATGGTTCTTGTTTTGTTTTCAAGACCTAGAGAAACCTCTTAAAAGAGTAGATCTAAATGTTTTCAAACCAAAGCTTGAATCTTTGATACCCTTGAATATGACCCTCGACCCTAAACCTTCTCTCTTTAGTATTCTTAAACCTCTGTTAATCATTTGCTTGTAATAAAGTTGCATTCTTGATCATTAGAAGTCGTTCTGTTTAAGTTGCTTGTTAGATCGATCCATTCTGCTCGAGCCAGTGCTCGATCCTATGGTTGATTCACTGGTCGATTTTTAGTTTTTAGTAGCTTTGCATTTTTCATCTTTTTCTTGTTCCTAATGGTAGTTAACCCTCTTCCAGGGATTTTAAAATTGTTTTGCATTGCATTAGACCGCTGCACTTAGTTTTACTTGAATTTACCAATCATTTATCATTTTTGCTTAGATTCACTAAATCCTTGCATTCTCATTGCTCTTCCTTCTCCCTAGGATTGGATTGATACCTCTTGCTATACTACGACTGTGTTGCTTGAGTTTTTATAACCTCCTGCTTGCATCCATATAAGAAACCTGTTATCACATAACTGCTCTGCTTGAGAAGAATTCCCTTGTTGACCCCATTGCCATGTCTCCTGAACCCAGCTCGATCATAGATGCTCTTTATGATCAGGAGTGTGCTCATTAGTATGGCTTTGGTGGGAAGTTCTTGCTGATGTTGCTTTGTCCTTTTTGAACTTCCTCTTAACCATCTTCACCAACTTCTTTATGGCTTTGTCTTGCCATTTACACCACTTCTGTAGAGAGTTGATGTGCTCATGAGCTACCTTCAAAGAGCCTCCTTGGCTGGGTGCTTCATAGGGTTTGAAGTGGAACTGCCTTGAACTGTAGCTCAACAATTCTTCTTCTTCAAGCTCATCTTCTTCATAGGTTCTTCCTTGGCCTTCAGCGCCAGCAGCAGCATTCCATTGGTGATCTTCTTCAGCTTCCTCTCCAATCTCTTCAGTATTTCCTTCCTCACTGTTTTCTTCTCTCTCTCCAGGGATAGGTCCGCATTTGTAGAGCTCCTCCTCACTCAGATTGAAGTTGATGTTGGTGCTTGTGGTGAAGGAGGTGAGCCTTGGGTTAGGGAGAAGGGCTTACTGGCTCTTGGTGATCATTGAGGAATAGGTAGACATGCCTGTCTTGGACACTCTTCTCAATGAAATGGCTTCTCTTCAGATAGTCCATGTCTATCCAGGAAAAACTTAGCGCATCTTCAGCATGCTCCTCAAGATTCACATCACAGGCTATGAGTATGGCTGTCACAACCCCTCCAAGAGCTTTAGCAGTAGAGGATGGGAGAAGGTTAATACTTGCTCCAAGATCACAAAGACAGCTTTTGAAAGTCTGCCCCTTAAGCTCACATGGGAGTGTGAAACATCCAGGATCTCCAA